CCTATCTATCGATCTATCTATCCATCTATCTGTCTATCTATCCATCGATCGGTCTGCTTACCTATCCATCTATCTATATGTCTACCATTGTCTGTCATTGTCTATCTATCTATCTATCTATCTATCTACGCATGTTTTATATGGTGTCATACAAATACAGGTTCATGCGTGTGTATGAATATATATATATATATACATACAAAGTTATATGTGTCTGTTTACATATATTTTTCATGTATTTATTTTTGTATACGTATATAGCGTGTATATGTACATATATATACACACATACATACTATGTGTGTGTATATATATACATATACAAATACAAATGTATGTATGTCTCAACAAACATGTATATGTATATATGATGCCGGTGCGGCCGGCCCGCCCCCCCTGTGGTGTGGTGTGGAAGTGGTTTGCTTCCCTCCTCCCTGTGGTATGGTGTGGTTCGGGTTGGGTCTGCTTGGGTGGTTCCCCCCTTCCCCCCTGTGGCGTGGTGTGGGTTTGGGTTTGCTTGTGGTGCACTTCACAAAGATCGGGTGTGTTTGGGAAGAAATCCTCGTGACAGTTGACGGTTTTGGAGCCGCCAAAGGGAAGAAGTGCGCACAGTCATAGGAATTTGGTCTGTCTGGAGCCGGGCTGGGGGGGGGGTAGGTGAACCGAGAACCGGGATGATATATGTATACTATTCTCTATTCTTCTCGTTTTTAATGACAAGGATGATGCGACGCCGACGAATCCACCTGGGGGAGTGACCTTCACGGACACGGACCCTGGTGTCGGAAGCTTCGGTGGCTCCGTGGCCCTCTTTGCAAAAGACTCAAGATTTAGGGTATGGGGTTGGTTGACGGTCAAGGGTTACGGGAAGATGGGTTTAACTTTCGCCTTGCTTAAAGACTCATACAGCCGAAGTAGGGTTAGTGGATGTGCCCCGTGGGGCTTTCCGGGAAGGAGTTGACAGCGATGTAGGGCTGCGGAGTTGATGGTTCGGGCCGGTGTGGTGGTAGACATCGCAGCATAAATCGTCAGAACACCAGTGCTTGGAACAATGAGAGTAGTTGTTCTAGATTCAAGTAAAATGCCGGAGTAGGAATAGAAGTTGTAGCAGCAGCATCAGTGGCCGAAGAAATTGTAGTAAACAGCGCTAGTCATAGTAGCACTCGCAGCAATGGCAAGACTGGTAGCAGTACCGGTTTTACTCGGAACTACAGGAGAAACACACACAGACAACTGTTCAAAGTAATTGTAAATGCCCGGCCGGAAAGGGGCGGATTTGTAAGCGCAAATAGCTACTCTAGTGATGGTCTCGGGTTTAGGGTCCTTGAGACGAAGATTCTCATGTCGAAGTTCTAGGACCAGGACCCTGCTAGGAGGGGATGCAGAGGCGTCTGACAGGGGTCCGACCACTGCAGGGCGAGGGCCGAGGCGAATGCGCAAAGGCCTAGTCAGTCGGCCTAGTCATCGCACGTTTTGGGGGTTTAGGGCTGAGGGTTCACGCTTAAGTGGCAAGGACTCTCCCCATAGTTGGATTTCTTGATCAGCACGGCTGTCATTGAAAATTAGCTCATCATGAAGTAGGCTATGCCCTTGCTTTGGCTACCAGTGCTATCTGCTGCAGGGGGCAGAAGAAGCCTAGCAGTTCATAACACAGCATAACCTGCAGGATCACCTTGGGCGCTGGCACAAACTTCACTGAAATATAAGATAGTTTCAGTCTGCAGAAACAATGGTTTTTCAGTGTTTCTAAATTTAGTAGTTAATGGGTTCTCGAATTGGGCAGCACAGCTGTGACTACACCAGAAAGTCTTGCAGTGAGACGACGTGAAGCACTCTCTGCGCGGTGTACGGCCAGCGGGTGAGTTTGCTGAGGTGGTTGTCCAGCGGGCATCAGATGAATCAGACCTGTCACACTACGTCGCCTACTGGGGTGCCGGTCTCGGACAGAACGGTGTGATGCGTTGGGCTGATGCGATGCAAGATGGTGCGTCCTGAGGTGCAAGCTCGAATGCGAAGATTCCCGGAACAAGTGAGCTCGGTTCGGTTAGCATCTTCAACGAGAGTGTGCAGAACGGCACCGCAATTATCAGCTTGCCACCCGGACGGCACCGCCTACACCTAGCCTAACCCTCAAGGCACAAACCCCTCAGCCCAAGACTCTCTCTCTCTCTCTATTTATTTCTCTCTCTCCCTCTCTCTCTCTCTCTCTCTCTGTCTTTCTCTCCCCTCTCCCTCTCCACATATCTCTTCCTCTCTATATATACATATATACACATATTATATATACTTTATATCACATGCATTTGTACATAACTAAATATACTTGTATATAAATAATAAATTGACAAATAAATAAACAAATAAGTATAAATATATATATATATATATACATATATATATATATTTATATTCTTTTGTATTCATATTACGTTTATATTTACATACACTGAAGCCCTTTCAGGCCCCCTAAATCTCTTCAAACCCCCTGAAACCCCTAAACCCCAAAGGCCCTTCACACCCCTACCTCTCAAAGTTTAAGGCCACCTGGCCTTACGCCGGCCTCTGGAGCCAGTCACCTTGTGGTCGTCTCCGCCATTCGTTTCGGGGCGGCCTTTGGCGATCCTGGGTCGCTGTTGGGTAAACACGGTCGTTAGGCTTTGTAGAATTTTAGGGATTTTTGCGGATGTGTAAGGGAATTGAGGTTTAGTGCCACTTGGGAAACTATTCTGATGTTTAGGGCTTCTAGGGTGCTTACAGCAGGGTATTGCGCAAGGGTTAAGGATTTTTCGGGTATTTTGCAGTAGGGTAAATGAGGTGAGGGGATCTACGGCGATTAAGGTTCGTAGAGCTAAGGGTGTTTCGGGTAGTTGAGGTGTAGGATATTTAGGTTGTTGATTCAGGGCGACATGGTTTCAGGTATGTATGGTATCTGGCGTATTCGTTGTTCAAGGTTTCGGGGTTTTGGCCTTAAGATTGCATGGCTGAGTGATAACACTTGGAGGGGTTGCATGGCCATCCTTAGTGTGGGTTCTTCTTAAGTCAGTTCTTTGAAATTGCCATCAGGGGAATATATGAGTGGTCCTTGAAGGGAGCTATAAGGGTTCGGTTCTGGTGATCTGTAGTAATTAGTATGATTTCCTTGCTATGAAAACCTAGTTTATCCCAGTTCCTTAACCAGAAAACCAGCAGCCTGCCAGCTAGCGTTGTCACATCGCCACACTCGGCATCAACTATCTTAAGTCTTCAGCCTTTCACCGTTTCAGGGTTTCGGAGTTAGACTAACCCTGTGGGGGTTTAGGGTCTAGGCCCTACAGACCCCAGAGAGAGCAAGGAGATGGCAACCGGCGTCGGTGTGGCTTTGCAAGACTTTGCCCCTCCGTCGGTATCGTGGCTGTATTACATATGGAGGCGAGAGAGCCACAAAGAGTTCGGAGTTCGGGTGGTGTCCGAAGACCAGTGATAGAAAGGCTATGGTAAAAGGAGTTCGCCGCCAAGGCAGACGAGTTGCTTTCTGCAGCCACTCCGAAGGGTAGGATCATGATGCACTTCTGCGTGTAACAGTTAATGATGCCGGCATCAGTACGGTATAAGATAGCCTGCGGCCTATGAGAAGCCCTAAGCGGCAAGCCCTAAACCCCAGACCCTTAACCCCTAAACCCTAAACCCCTAAGCTCGAAACCCTAACAAGCCCTCATTGTGTAGGCCCTAAACCCTAAACCCT